GCTCTTGCTCAAGTTTTAATCCTATGTGCTATGGTTTATAGTGAAATTTATTTGATAAATTTATATCACTCATCTCAATTTGTCCTTTCTTACAAACCAATTAAAAAGTTACATTTTTAACAAATAGGTTCAAAACCCACTGAACTTGTTTATTTAAAAGATTTTTAAAGCAGGTTAAAGTTTTTTTCCACTTTTTTTTTGAGTGCAGAAAAACCATAGAAAATCTCTGAAGGGTATAAAAGATTTTCATGATCACTCTCCATTTAACTTTATTTCCTTATAAATATTAAGTTTCCGTGCAATAGGATCGACAACCCATTTCAGCAGGCTGGGTAGTTTGCAGTCCTGGGAAGGAGCCCCACAGTCAGCCTCTTAGATTGTGGAGCCCCTTCCTTCAGTGTCCCTCATGTATTACCAAAGTCACCAGACTCCTTGTGGACAAACTGAGGAGGTCATCAGGGTTCAATGATCCTATATAATAAAAGGCTAATATGCAAATTGACCGAATAGCGGAATGACCGGTCGCTATGACGTGCATTGACTACCAGGGGGCAGACACTCAACGCAGGAGCTGGCCCCTGGTGGTCAGTGTGCTCCCACAGGGGGAGCGCCGCTCAGCCATAAGCCCTGAGCCAGGCTCACGGCTGGTGAGTGCAGCAGCAGTGGCAGGAGCCTCTCCCGCCTCCACAGCAGTTGGACATCCCCTGAGGGCTCCTAGGTGCAGGCCGGGCCAAGGGACACCCTCCCCCCCCAAATCCACGAATTTTGTGCACTGGGCCTCTAGTAAAATATACTCTGAGTAAAATGAATAAAAATAAGGACTTTTTACTTTCTTACCCCAATGGCTAGTCTCAGGCACTGTCCAGTAGACCTGCCTGGTTTGTTTCTGTTTTTATTTTTTCAGAGAGGAAGGGCGAGGGAGAGAGAGAGAGAAACATCAATGATGAGAGAGAATCATTGAGTGGCTGCCTCCTGCATGCCCTACAATGGGGATCGAGCTCACAATGGGGCTTATGCCCTGACCAGGAATTAAACCTTGACCTCCTGGTTCATAGGTCAGTGCTCAACCATGAGCCACACCCACCGGGCTGTAAATTCTGTACTGAACTGTGATACACATACAGAAAAGTGCACATATTTATAAGTGGTACATATGGCTCACTTTTTGTAAACTGAACATCCTTGTGTAGCTAGCAACCAGATTAAGGAACACGGCATTACAGTCCCCAGGTGTCCCCTCGTGGTCTTTTCCAGTCACTGTCCCTGCAGAGGTGACCACTGTCCTGACCTTACGGCATACGGTGGTCTGGTCTGGTTTACTATGACAGTGGGGCCTTGACTTACGAGTTTAATTCGTTCAGAGACCGAGCTCGTTAAGGAGCTTGTTAACTCAAATTACTCTATCAACTCAATGCAAAAAATCGGCCGAGACAGCCGTTATCTCAAAAAACTCGTTAGTCGGGACACTCGTAAGTCAAGGCCCCAGTGTACTGGTTTTATCTGATGTGTGCAAAAGGCAGGTGTGTGATCCTTGGCCTTGGCACATGCTGTTCCCTTGCATGGGAGACCTTCCTCTTGTTACCCAGTGAGTTCTGACTTGAGTTTTTAAAACTCCTCTCTAGGGCCTCATCCCTTCCTAATGAAACCTGCTTTTCCTCTGTGAAGCCACTTCACCGTTTGCACAGCCCTCCCCCTGCAGGCCCTGTGCTAAGCACTGTTTACAGTGACGTCTGCACTGATCGGAAGCCCCTTGAGGGTGTCCCTCAGAGCCTGGCACAGATTGTGGAACTAAAAAGACAAAATTTTCACATTTTTATTTTTATTATCTTTTTATCCTCACCTGAGGATCTGTTTTTATTGATTTTTAGAGAGAGAGGAAGGGAGAAAGAGAAACATAGATGTGAGAGAGAAACATGAATTGGTTGCCTCTCATACGTGCCCTGACCGGGATCGAACCTGGGTATGTGCCCTGACCAGGAATTGAACCCACAATTTAATGTTTCAAGCTTTTGTTTATCAGCAGAAAAAACTGCCCTCTCTATAATCTTATTTATATAGTATTTTTAATAGTAAATACCTTGGTGAACTTTGTGATCAGACTGCATCATTAGGTTTCAAAATATGCAATTCAAAGACCTGGTTCAATGGCAGCCGAAAGATGCCTCACTGCCTCAAAGAGCCCTTGCTCCAAATGGGAGAACTGCATTATTACCGTACTAGTGAAATCTTGCTCATTTTTTAAAAACTACTTTTTTATTAATTTCAGGGAGGAAGGGAGAGGGAGATAGAGACATCAATGATGAGAGAGAATCATGATAGGCTGCCTTCTGTACGACCCCTACTGGGGATCAAGCCCATAACCCGGGCATGTGCCCTGACCAGGAATTGAACTGTGACCTACTGGTTCATAGGTCAATGCTCAACCACTGAACCATGCTGGCGGGGCTCTTGCTCAAGTTTTAATCCTATGTGCTATGGTTTATAGTGAAATTTATTTGATAAATTTATATCACTCATCTCAATTTGTCCTTCTTTCTTACAAACCAATTAAAAAGTTACATTTATAACAAATAGGTTCAAAACCCACTGAACTTGTTTATTTAAAAGATTTTTAAAGCAGGTTAAAGTTTTTTTCCACTTTTTTTTTTGAGTGCAGAAAAACCATAGAAAATCTCTGAAGGGTATAAAAGATTTTCATGATCACTCTCCATTTAACTTTATTTCCTTATAAATATTAAGTTTCCGTGCAATAGGATCGACAACCCATTTCAGCAGGCTGGGTAGTTTGCAGTCCTGGGAAGGAGCCCCACAGTCAGCCTCTTAGATTGTGGAGCCCCTTCCTTCAGTGTCCCTCATGTATTACCAAAGTCACCAGACTCCTTGTGGACAAACTGAGGAGGTCATCAGGGTTCAATGATCCTATATAATAAAAGGCTAATATGCAAATTGACCGAA